AGTACTCGTATATAAACGTGCTCCGCTTCAATAAAGATTACTGGGCCCTAGGCATAGTCTGATGCTCTGGTGCTGATGCTAACATCTTCTGTGTCTTGAGAATCCCCGAAAAGTGAGTACCAAACATCAAACAAGTCGAGAATTCATAAAATTCATAAATCGAGTGACCCGAGGAAAGGAGGTGAATGCTATCTCAGCGGATCAGTACTCTGCTCAAAGCTCCCACGGATTGAAAGATCATCTGAAAACAAGAGGCATACGAGTGTGCTTCACTTCAACCGACACCCCCGGATAGAAGAAGAATATAAGAATTGTATACACACGATAGGGCCCACATATCTTTCAACGAGAATACCTCGAGATGGATAGAAACGAACCAGGGACTCCGAAAAGGATGCCCGATGTCGTAAGTCCTTGCCTTAAGTTCTTGCTGTACATCTGGGACCTGGGGACCAAACTCCAGAACCACGGAGTCGGATTCCAGGTCAGAACAGCTAGATGGACGTGGGATACGAGAGAGAAAACACACTTCCACATCCCCGGCCTACTCTTTGCCGACGACCTCGTCCTGATGGCGAGGAACCACAATGACTTGGCGGGACTCCTTGAGGTCACCACAGAATATGGAAACCGGAATAAACTCCTATTCAATCCGGAGAAGAGTGCCGTCGTGATCTACGCGCCCCACGAAGTGGGTAGGGAGAAAACATTGACCATACAAGGCCGAACCATCCCAGTTGCAAAAAACTATAAGTACCTGGGGATAACCCTATCCGACTCCAGAAACTACCTCAATGAACAAGAGGAAGCCTGGGCGATGTGGACGAATTCCGCCCTGCATGCAATGCATGCTACGTCTCCCTGGGGTTTCAACCGATTCGAAACCGCTAGAGTGCAGTGGAAAGCAACCGCCATCTCGAAACTCACCTATGCTTACTCGGTCTTGGTGAGGAGCGCCAATTTGAGGGACACCCTGGACAGAGCCCGGCGGAAAGCCGGGAAGTGGGCACTAGGGATTCCAGGGTCGAGAGTATCGAACGAGCTCGTCGACAGCGAACTTGGACGATCATCCTTCGAAGCGAGGGATGCCCAGAGCAAACTGAGATACTTCGAAAGAAAGAGATCGATGTCTGAAAGTAGATGGCCGAAAGCGACCTTGAGAATTATGAAGCTCACTAAGAAGAAAGCCAAGGCGTACCAGGAGACCGTACGACTTCGAGCAAAATACAAGTGCTGAGACATCAGTCACCAATTCGATGTGGAAGGACGCCCGCTTTCGAATATCTTCAACAAAAGGATCAAAGAGAGGATTCGAGAGACCCAGGAGGCGATGTGGAGAGACAATATGCTCCTCAAGACGAGCCTCAGTACCTACGCCATGGGGAAGAAGACTCGAGCTGTAAATATTATAGCTTAACCTACGATAACAGTAGGGGTAGCGCCCTCCTAGCACTGGCCAGAGCCAACATGTTGCCGACCAGAGCTCACAAGATGTACCCGGGAACCGACAAAACCTGTCCCAGGTGTGGCATCTACGAGGAGACGATGGAACACGTCATCTTCGAATGCAACGACATCTACCACACGGGGGAAGAACTCCTGTGCCGTCTCGGACTCCATGAAGAAGCAAACAATGCAACCGAAGTAAGAAGGACAAAAAGAATCCTGGAGGACTGGGACAAACAACGATCTGCCGAATTTCGCGCCTGATATGGAAGGCTGATTGACCGTCTATATACAAACGAACGGATATACACCTCAATCTAGATCACAGTAAACCATAAACCACGTAAGGCCGTGAATTCCCCATTCGCGCCCAATCTCCCGTTCGAATGCTATTCTCCTCTGAATATCCTTGATATCACGTCCTGAATATCCATCACGTCACTGAGTATATCTCGAGCTTTCTGTCGCAGCTCTGCAGACGCAGCCGACAGCCAAGGATATTTATTCGACATGCACGCTCCCACGTCAGGAACTACGAAATCACTGAGAGTGGCTCCGCGGTCTGAACCGGCCGCGCGGTGTTCGATTGAGGAAGCGCTGCTGGTGATTCTCCAATTCGTTTGTTCAGCGATGAGTGCTACAAAACCCAGAACCAAGAAGTCGACTCTGGTGACACCGGACCGCGCGAAGCCCATTCCAATTGGAACTTCCCACTCAAGTGGGGAGTTTCTTTTTTGTAGTACCGATACAAAAGCTTTGCGATACAAAAGTTGATCACACCCGGAAACACAGCTGCTTCAAACACTTGGAGTCGACCGCTCGTAGACACGGAGCGCGACTTCTTGAGGATCCCGAAGCGAAAAGGAAGCGACGGGTCGGTTTGGTCGAATCGTTCGCTCAGCTCACCGAGGACAAGCTGGAAAGACGATCAACTCTCATCGCTCTGGTGGAAGCTTTCGCAGGCGCCAATATACCTTTGCACGCGCTGGACAACGCGAACTTGAAAGCATTCCTCGAAGCGAAGTTGAGAATGTCGGGCAATATACCGTCTGCGACGGAACTCAAGCAGGATTATATGCCGAAAGACTCCGAGGCTCTTGTTAAACTTCTAAAGACATCCCTCGCAGACAGAAAAGCCGTCGCAATTGTTTGCGATGAAACCACGGACGTCGAGGATAGGTACGTACTCAACATCTTGGCTGTCCCTTGTTGCGAAGATGGGGAACCCAAGCTGGAAGCTCTGAATTGTGTGCTTCCGCATTTTGTACGAGCGATTTGATTTAAATCGAGTTTATCAATGTTTCCCAGCCGCGCAGTGTTTTCCCTTGTCTCTCAAAGGAAACGACAAGTTTCGCCCTCGCCGTGACCTACCAGTGGAAATTCACGGTGTCCGCGATTTTTCTCCTCAGAAGCCGTGACTTCGAAGTGAATTTCCAGCCGAAATGCCGCGACGAAAGTCTAGCCCTACCGATGAGACATTCTGCTCTCTTGAGGGGTGACAGTCGTTGTGGACGACATCCTCGTCTGGGGACGCACTCGTGAGAAACATGAGGAAGGCTTGAGAGGAGTACTGCAATGGTGCAAACAAGTCGGATTTGTTCTCAACAGGAAAAAAACGCAGTTCGCCCAGAAAGCCGTCGGATTCCATATCTAGGGCATATACTATGATCTGAAGGAACAAGCATCGACGAAGCGCGCAGCAAAAGTTTCCGGAAGTTCCAGCTCCCGTGAACAACAAGCAGCTTCTTAGGCATGGTGGCCTACGCTTCGCGGTTTGTGGAATACCTAACCGACAGAACAGCGGTCCTCGGAGGTCCGGTGAAGAAGCTTCGGAGACCAGATGGGTAAAGAAAGTGATGGAAATTACAGGTTAACTGACTTTATTTCGTATTTTCCTATCTCATGGTTCACAGCATCGAGTAGTTGAGCAAGATCGTAAATAACGACTCGCCCGTGGCGGTGCATATTTAAATTGCTCTACTCGCGTTCTATATATCGATAATTGCTTTTCACATTATCCGATGTGTAACACCGGACTGACCCTTCCCAATCATGTATATAAACAGCCTCAATAAAGACTGACTTCACTTGAGGAGTAATATCCTATACTGGTATTATTTCTTTGGTCTGTTGTGTTCCGTCCGAAAGGTGCCTACTCATCCCATCGAACTCTTCGAGTACTCATCGTCATCTCAGGAGAAACCGACCGAAATTTCCCTTCATTCGTTATCAGCACGAAATACTCTACTCTCCGAGGACGCTGAGGACCATTCGCAAGAGGACAACGTCTCCACGACTCACTCAACAACCCACAGAAATCTTCCACGTGAGTCTATCGCACAGTCGTACCTAGGAACCGAAGTATGTCCGACACCGAAGGAAAACCTCTGGCCCTCGTGACCACGGGCGGAGGACTCATGGCAGGCGGAGACAACTCAGGAGGGGGTTCTGCTGCTGGAGGTGGTGACACCCCCTGCTGGCGGAGTCACTCCGAGTGGAGGTGACGCCAAACCTGACGTACCATTCGAGTCTGAAGAGCCAAACCTGAGTGACATACGAGGAAAGACTGCAGCGATCGTGTTGAATGAAGATGGTTCGAACTACTTATCCTGGAAAGCCCTGATCCCGACTACGCTGAAACTGATTCCATACGCATGGCAAGTTGTCGAAGGAACGCTAGTTGGGAACAAGAGCCCTGATCCCGAAGCTAAGAAGCAACAAGAAAAGTACAACAGAGGAAATCTCGCTGCGAAGTATGTACTCTTGAACTCGATTCACAGCAACATCGTGGTTAATCTGTTCTATGAAAATCTGGAGTACACACAGGCCGCCTCAATCTGGAAGAAACTCCAAGAGAGGTTCGGAGCGAAAACCGAATCTCAACAGTTCGTGGCCGTGAGCAATTTCCTCAGCTGGGAATACAGGAGAGATAAGTCAGTCGACGACAACATTTCAACCTTCAAGAGACTGAAATACGCACTGGACGAGTGTAATGCTGACATCAAGGAGGAGATCATTTGTATCACCCTCATCAACAAGTTACCGCCAAACTGGACATGGATTAAGGTACTATGGCTTCCGAAACCTAAATCCGAAAAGACATTCAGCAGTCTGATCAACCTCATTCAGACAGAATCACTGAGACGACAATCCGAGAATCCCGAGGACGTACCAACAGCTATGTTCAGCAAAATGAATCTGAGAAGCGGTGGCTCTCGGAAATTCCCTCGCAGAAAACAGGAAAGTCGTGCTCCTCACTACCGTGAGAATCGTTCTGTCTCAACCTCACAACAGAGCTCCTCAAAGTCTACAAAGGTAACGATTACTTGCAACTACTGCAAGAAGCCGGGACACATAGCTAGGAATTGCTATGCGATGAAAAATCATCAGAAGAAGCGCTCCTCAGTAAATGTCGCTGAGTGTTATTGTGCACAAACAGCGAAGAAGGGAGATCTAGACTCCCGCTTCAGACGAGAAGGTCAAGAGTGGGTGCTTGACAGCGGTTCAACCCATCACGTGGTCAACAATCGCAAATGGTTTACGAACTTCAAGAACGAAGAGGACATCCGGAACGTTAGGCTTGGCGGTGCTAGGACTCTTCAGGTCAAAGGCACTGGCACTGTCAGCCTCACGGTTCTCGACGGGAAGGCAAGTTCCACCATTACTCTCGAAACGTACTTTATGTCCCGAGCATGGGAAGGCGACTGGTGTCGCTCAGTAACTGGCCAGCAGTCATTTCGACATT